CCACCAGAAAATCTGCATATCCCTTACTGCAAAACTATTATAAAGCCTTGTTCGAATCTCTGAAGATCCACGAGATAGTCAAGGATACTGTTAATTTATTCCTAGAAGAATAACCACTTCTGAAGTGCATCCATAGACAGCCTGCCTGGATTTCACAAGGAAATCTCCACAAGGATTCTAAGCTTCCATTCACGATTATGATCCAATTAAGAGAAGGAGGAATTCAAAATTTGAAAGTGAGATGAACTGACGCAATTGAATGTAAGCGGTTGTCTTGTGAATATTTCTGGCGATTGTCGTGAGTCGTTGCGGTCCATGGTAGATGGCGTACATTGCGGCCATATTGGCTAACAAAGCTTGAGCCGTGCAGATATTCGATGTTGCCTTATCACGACGTATGTGCTGCTCACGTGTTTGCAACGCCAATCGATAGGCCACCTCATTATCCATACCTCTGCAGCGAGATGTTTGTTGTTTCATCGACAAAACACCCTTATCATTGATAATTCTAATCTTATCACTCTATATTCTCACAATAATATCCACTTCATCGTTCTACCAAACATCTAAATCCATCCGCTTCTAACACTGAATGCAACTCTTCAAGATCTCAACGGATCACCTCCACCATGCATATATTCAAATCAAATTTCCATCAACGTCGATCACTTATAGATTTGCATTTTACCGATTGTTTTTCACATGTTATCAACAATTAATTAATACTATTATTTTTGCCAATATTCTTTGTTATATAATATGGATTTGTACTTTGTTATCAATTATTGACTGTCAATAACGATAATTGTGTTTTTTGTTATCAATAACAGTATTGTTGTTATTACTTATTGTTATCAATTATTAATATCACTGTTATCAGTTATCAATGTTCTTAGCAAGAATAAAATCGTGATAACTATTGATATTATGATTGTTATTGTCGTTAGTATGACTGCACTATTATCATATATTTAGTCGTATGACTGTCAGTATGATCTCAACGAGAAACGAACTTGCTGACACCAATAACACGTCCGGGCATTGCCCTAGCCAGTGAATTTCTCTTATCAAGCTTCTTAACAGCCATGAAGGCCGCATGCGGTCCACCGAAACCGAGCGGGATACCGAATCGTTGTGAATTACCAATTGCAACGTCTGCGCCCAAATCGCCCGGTGAACGGATCATAGTCA